TTCCAAACATTGAGTAAGTAGCGAGCTTATCACCTTTGTATTGACACTGAGTTTATTTTTCTTGATTTTTTTTGTTGATTCAGTATAGCTGGAGGGATTAATGCCCAGTATACTCGAATATTTTTGTGTGGTCCAGTGGAACTGGAGTGTTCGGGTTTATTCAGTACAGCTGGAGGGTCAATTCCCAGGTACGTGAATAAATTCGTAATTTTTGTTTGGTTTGCTCAGTATAGCTGGAGGGTCAATTCCCAGTATACGTGAGTAAATCGTTTGTGATCCAGTGTAGCTGGATATTTAGTTTGGTTGGCCCAGTATAGCTGGTGTCTACCTGTTTCAAGTGTCAAAGGTGATAGCCCTACTTTTAATGTTTAAGTTAAAGTTGTTTGTTGTGAGCCACATTTGTAGTAGTTAACCGCCACCATTTAGCTTGATAAGTTCCGTAAGTGTGAATCATGGACGTAATGAGTTTTATTGAGTGTCCAACTCTAGAAGTTTTAGACAGGTTTTGTCGCGTAGAGTTGTTGCGTCTAGTTGAGGAGCTAGGACTAGAGGTTGATGTGTCGGATAGAGATAGAGTTCTACGAGATCATATTTGTGTTGAGTTAGTGAATACAGGTAGATTAGAGGAGGAGTGTCTAGACTCGATAGAATATTATGAGATAGGACGAATTAGGGTTGAAGAAATTGAGAGGAAGTATCAAGCTAAGTTGTTAGAGATCGCGAGAGAGAAAGAGGAGAAGTTGTTAGAGATTAGAAGGGATATATTCATGTCAGAATCTTGGAAGGAAATTAACATTAAAAGTTTAGAGAAACTGTTCGGACATGAAGTTAAACTATTAGAGATCAGGAGGGAACGGGATTTACTTAGGCTATGGGAAGAGGCGCAGCTTAGTGGGTTGTTTGACTTTCCAGAATCTGTCTCTGTTTTCTCTCAGGCTAGTGTAGTAGTTTCCGAGGATCGGTATAGAGATGAAGATAGTTTGTTGTCTGACAGAGTTGGTAGTGAGTTTTGTCAGTCTCAGACTAAGGCTGCCACTAGCTTTGGCTCAGTCCCTGAAGTCGACTTTAACCTAGCAGAACCAGCACAAACGTCAAAACGTGCTGATAGCTTACGAGTTGAGAGTTGTGTGCCGACAAGTACTGAAGGCATTCAGCAAGTTATCGGTTTAGATAAAATCACGGCAACCACTCTGGTGTTGACCAGTCATGAAAAGGGGCTGTCAATATCTGACCCAGTGGATACAACCACCGATGATATCCCGGCAACCACTCTGATGTTGACCAGTCATGAAAAGGGGCAGTCAATATCAGAACCAGTGGTTACAACCACCGCTGAAATCACGGTAACCACCGAGAGAGTGAATAACCATGAGAACGGGCTGTCCTCCCATGATCCCAGCAGTATTTAATTTCTCCCCGACCAAGTCCAGCAACCCAGAGGCCATGACCTCACCTGGAGGTCACGTGGATGGTGTTCTACATCCAGAGATAGACGAGTCAACGAATCTTTTGCCAACATCAGTAACGAACAACATCGTTACCCATTGTCTTGGAGGTGAGCCTAACACGGGCTGTCCTCCCATTGTCACAACAGTGTTTAATTTCTCCCCGACCAAGTCCAGCAACCTGGAGGCCATGACCTCACCTGGAGGTCACGTGGATGGTGTTTTACATCCAGAGATCGAGGAGACGGTGAATCTTTTGTCCGCGTCGGCGACGAGCCAAGTCATTGTCTCTTGTTTTGGAGTTGAGCCTAACTCAGGCTTCCCTCCCCTTATCTCGGAGCTGATTTATTGTTCTTTGACCGACCCGGGGAAGATCGGTAATGTGACCTCAGCGGGTCACACTTCTCCCGTCAACCGAGAATGTGTACATGTGAGCGCATATCACCTCACTTTCACAGAGACGGGGCGTGAAATCGACCTCTCTTTGTGCGGCTCGGTGTATTTGTTGTGGGCGGATAATATCTCCGTCACTAAAATTGTGCTGCGACGTTATAAAGTTCGGCTAAAGATTTATATTTACGAACTCATGATGACCCGAAAGACGGAAAACTAATTTGTGTTTCAAACCTATTAGAACTGTTTCCAAGATAGACTGTTTCATGTTTTCCCAGGATGCAAGTGTTCTAATCAAAATGAACTGTTTTCAGGCTTAAAGAATGTACCTTTTTACATGTCTTGTTTAAAAAAAAAATGTGTGTTATTGATGTTTTACATGATGATGAATTCGTGACAGTTTTAATTGTATTGACAGGTTTTGTTGACTGATGACGTAACTATCAGTAAAACGAAGACTGTTGGTTTCAACATTAAGATTATTGGCGACAGTGACGCATGTGTTGCAGATTTGCGGTTTTATTTACTTTGATGTCTATGTTTGATGACACTGTGGTTGGTGTATTTAGCCAAACTTGTTATTGTGACTAAATCATCCACGTTTCTTATCTTTTTGATGATGATGATGTTAAACTGTTTTAGTCCCATTTAGGTTTATTCTGGGACTTTTGAGGAATTGTGAGATTGGTATGGTTGTCTAGTAAGAGATGTTCAATTAATTCACCATGTGGTGGCGAATTAATTTCTTGAAGGGTGGGGGTGTTACGAACCCAAGCGATCTTTACCTGGGTTTGGTCCCATCGAGGAGGGCCAGGTAATTAAAATGAAATGCTTAGGCATGTTAATGCACTGACCAGTGCTGGTCGTGAGAATCTTTGGGCCGTGATGGCCACACCGGATTAGATTCCACGCGTGTAGGCGTGGCAGACTTGGAGACTTGGGGGACTCGGCTATTAACGTGGCCAACAGCCCATAAATTACCTGGTGACACCACGGGCTGACCGTTGATGCTTGATCTAGGCTAGTGACGGTCCATGTTTTACGGCTGGGAAAACCTTCCAGATCGCACAGGGCCGAGATGGACGGTCATGTCCTGACCTGACCTGACCTGACCTGGGGGTCAGGCTCGATTAACAAGGTTCCCACACTAGCGAGGGACGACTTGAGTACTTTAGGAGGGTAGACCGGAGACTAGGGGGACACACTCGACAGACAGTCGGGACACACACACGGAGACGGACGTACTCGTCTCGGATAGCTAGGTAGAGGAGACATGGGTCGTCTTTGTGAGCTAGTGGAAAGCCACGACATGTTTTAGACTTAGGCTAGGCTTGACAGTTAGGGACAAGTAGATTAGTCAAATTAAGGACTTTAATTGTTATAGCTAGTTGTGTATATTTCGATTGTTGTACTTCGGTGGCGGGTTTAACTTTAAGTGTTGTGATTTGTGGCGAATAAATAGAGATTACTGAAGTTGGCTTTTATTTAATTTTATTTTTCTTCTTCTTGTTTACGATCCCCTGACTAGTTCGAAAGGATTAGAGAAGGGGGTGCGTAACACTATACAACTGACCCAGGCTCTACAACTGACCCAAGCTATACAACTGACCCAGGCTCTACAACTGACCCAGGCTCTACAACTGACCCAGGCTCTACAACAGACCCAGGCTCTACAACAGACCCAGGCTCTACAAATGACCCAGGCTCTACAAATGATCCAGGCTCTACAACTGACCCAGACTCTACAACTGACCCAGGCTCTACACCAGGCATATGATAGCCCTCCAGCCGAGGGAAGAATTTGGCTATATCACAGAATATTAAGACAAACTGCAAGTTCTAGTGGTGAGTGAATTGCCTGCAATGACAATCATCAACGTGGCATTTGCCTGCACAAATGTCATGAATGTCAGCAGTTAGCAAACAGTCAGGAGATGACGTCATCGGACATGGATACTTGAGGATTAACGGCTGATCCACTCAGATTTCTAAAAATAGCGTCAGAAGAGACGCTTTGAGTCAGCTTTGATATCCACAGCACATGGTTAGTGCATTTACTTGGTGGTGAGGGTATAGTGGGGGGGGGGGGGGGCTGCCAATGTTATAAGGCGACAGTGGATGATGTATATTTGTAACGGTTTTTAAAAAGTGGGGGGGGGGTCATGTTGGAGTTATGTGGGGGTAATGGGGGAGTTATGTCGGGGTCATGTGGGGGTTATGTGGGGGTTATATGTGGGTTATGTGGGGGTCATGTGGGAGTTATGTGGGGGGGGGGGGGGTTCATGTGAGTTATGTGGGGGATAAGTGGGGGTTATGTGGGGGTCATGTGGGAGTTATGTGGGGGGGGGGGGGGGGGTTCATGTGAGTTATGTGGGGGATAAGTGGGGGTTATGTGGGGGTCATGTGGGAGTTATGTGGGGGGATTATGTGGGGGTTATGTGGGGGTCATGTGGGAGTTATGTGGGAGTTATGTGGGGGTCATATGAGAATTGTTATAGATAGCTGAGGTGTTGTAGATGTTCGTAACCTGCACTGCGTGTGAGCGGTGTTGCGCATGTTTTAAACCCCTACCCCCTCCCTCTTTCCCCCCCCCCCCCACAGCATGATGTTAGTTAATCCGCTCAAGTAGTCTAACAGATTAAGGATTACACATGAGAGTAAAACGGACCAAGGTTTGGAACTCCTAGAGCGCCGAGAGAGAGAGAGCAGCGCTATCCTTTAAGAAAACACGATGAAGCCAAGAGTACTTTGGTCCCATGGAGCTTCTTGTGTCGAGCCAACTAATCCTCCATTCTTTAGTTAACGCAGTGGGAAGGTCATGTGGTTATTCTAATATGTGTAGGTCACCGAATAGTCATATAGTATAGGTACACCAGATATGTGGGAAAACTAATGTTATGTGCCAGTAATTAAAGGATAAAATGTTATTTACCAGTTACTGATAGACAACAAACTCATCATACAGAAGATCACATTCTAGACAAGTTAGCCATAGAAGTTTTAGTGGCAGTAGTCACATGACAGTGGGGGATGTGTGACACTGCTATAGTGTCATGACAGACGAGACTTGACACTGGCACAAGACAAAGTTTGACGGTATATCCCTACAAACAGAATGACCATGCAAACAAAATGACCATACCAACAAAATACCAAACTTACCTCACTGTTTGAAAGAACATCCACAAAGTTTTTTAAGCCAATGACACAGTTGCCGCATCCAGCCCCGACCGTTTTATCTGGCTGGCACGTGATTTCACCAACATAAACAAGAAATGCGGGAGGGAAAAACTCGGCCACTCACGCACCAACGATACGCACGCGCGCTGTGGGCCTGTTTGGCAACTGAGGGTGGTTCCAGCCGTCCTTGAGCGTCTAGGATTAGAGCGTTAATTCAGGCATTCGTCACGCGCTGGCCCGCGCGAGGCTTACAGAGAGCTAATAGACATTTTTTCTGGCTCGCTCTTTAAGCTTGTAATTAATTTAATTACTCTAACCAATTTTACGTCCACGATTCTACAATGATATCGGCGAAATTTTAAATACTGTACCAAACAATACGCATTGTTGAATATTCTCTCGGGATATTCTAGACTTCTATTTTTAGAAGGATCGTTTTTACTTTAATGTTTGTTCCCTGTTTCTGTTTAGTCCACACATCATCTCCTGGTTTTTGTGTGTTCAAATGTATTGGTAATATGTGTTTCAACACTCGACATCGCTACATCACAACATCTCTACATCACAACATCTCTACATCACAACATCTCTACATCACAACATCTCTACATCACAACATCTCTACATCCTAACGTTTTACATCACAAAATAGAAAAAATTGGTCACCATTGGTCAGATTTGTTTTCTTTGATAAAGTAGGCCAATGCAAATATTTGCACTGTTAGTTGCTAAGCATATAGTTAAATCATAGCCTTAACTAGTGAACATATCTAGCGCATATATTCAGCACTAGTCTATGTAGCTACCATCTAGCCTACATATGTAGCTACCATCTAGCCTACATATATAGCTACCATCTAGCCTACATATGTAGCCTACATTAGCCTACATATAGCTACCATCTAGCCTACTAATGTAGCTATCATCTAGCCTACATATGTAGCTACCATGTAGCCTACACAGGTAGCTACCATCTAGCCTACATATGTAGCCTACATTAGCCTACATATAGCTACCATCTAGCCTACATATGTAGCTATCATCTAGCCTACATATGTAGCTATCATGTAGCCTACACATATAGCTACCATCTAGCCTACATATAGCTACCATCTAGCCTACATATAGCTACCATCTAGCCTACATATAGCTACCATCTAGCCTACATGTAGCTACCATCTATCCTACATACGTAGCTACCATCTAGCCTACATATAGCTACCATCTATCCTACATACGTAGCTACCATCTAGCCTACATATAGCTACCATCTAGCCTACATATGTAGCTACCATCTAGCCTACATATGTAGCTACCATCTAGCCTACATATGTAGCCTACATTAACCTACATATATAGCTACCATGTAGCCTACATATATAGCTATCATCTAGCCTACATATGTGACTACCACCAGCCTACATATGTAGCCTACATTAACCTACATATATAGCTACCATGTAGCCTACATATATAGCTATCATCTAGCCTACATATGTGACTACCACCAGCCTACATATTTAGCCTACATTAACCTACATATGTAGCTACCATCTAGCCTACACATATAGCTACCATCTAGCCTACATATGTAGCTACCATCTAGCCTACATATGTAGCTACCATCTAGCCTACATATGTAGCTACCATCTAGCCTACTACCACCGTGCCCCACTGGGTGTGTGTTTGGGTGTGTGTCTGGGGTGTGTGTTTGGGTGTGTGTTTGGGTGTGTGTCTGGGTGTGTGTCTGGGTGTGTGTTTGGGTGTGTGTTTGGGTGTGTGTCTGGGTGTGTGTCTGGGTGTGTGTCTGGGTGTGTGTCTGGGTGTGTGTTTGCGTGTGTGTCTGGGTGTGGGAACAAAAACCAGTGGGCCAACACCGAAGGCTCTAGCCGACAAAGAACGGGGACAAAAGCATGGCGACACGCTTGACTGACGAGACGCGTGCCCAGGTGAACATTTGGTCCTGGCTAATTTCGGTTTTTTGTCCTTTCCATGACATCGCGTGCCCCCCTCCCCCTTCCCCTCCCCACCGATGCTCGTCTGTGATGGATGTGTGTGGCAGATCAAAAAGAAAGAATTTTTTTACCATCGATTTTTTAAAAGGTATTTATCCCCCAGTGCCAACAATAGTTGGCCGAATGGGCCTCCATCAGAGCTGGTGGTACAAGGCCGAGTGGGACTCAGTTCTGGCTGTATACAAAAGATGAATTCTATTACATAACAATATCTTTTCCGACATGCTCACAATTGCTTCTATGTGAACATCGTTTAGCCATAATTTCCATGATTCATTCAATTTTAGTTCGAGCTATTTTTATAACTATGACCGTATAGAAAATAACATAATCTAAATGGGCTTTTATAAAATGTATGCCAACCTTTCAAAATTAGGGCTAAGAAGAATGTATTTTAACATTAAATACTAGGGTCATTTAGAATAAACATTCACTATTAAATCTAAGGCCATATAGCGTAAAAATTCACCATTAAATCTAGGGCCATAAAGAATAAAGATTAATCATTTACACTAGGGCCATATAGAATAAACATTCACAATAAAAACTAGGATAACATTGAATAAACATTGACAATTAAAACTAAGACCATATAGAACAATGACCAATAAAACTACGGCCATATAGAACAATGACCATTAAAACTACGGCCATGACTAAATCACAGCGAACCAAACTTGAACCAGCCAACCGCTCGTGTCAGATGAATGAATCATTGACCTGCTTGTAATCTACACGTGCTGACTGGCATCGTGTCCGTAACGGCCCAATTTATTACGTCATTAAAAAAACTACAGCTATGGGGTAGTTGTGTTAAGCCACGGTTCTAGTTATCAAACATCAAAGTCCCCACAAAGAGGATTTGTTTGAGTCGAGTAACCCTTAACGCCATGTTGCGCTGTATTGAAGTTGAGGCAATGTTTACAAAACTTGGACACAGGCGACATGATATACTGTGGTTTAACATCAGCCACAGAACAACTTGGACAATTTGTTTTGTCTGATGTTTTAAGGAATCGCTTCAAGTGGTCTGAAGCAGACTTGTCATTGACAGACATGTTTGATTGGAACAAAATGCAGGTGAAAGTTTATTCTGTCTGGCTTTGTTTGGCATGCCCAGAACGTGTGCGATTAAAGAACAGTCTAGAACGTCCCGTGGGTTGATAAAGGCCCATGTTTGTGCTGGGGTGGCTATTGCCTGAAAGGCTCAATGGAAGGCTATAGAAAGGTGGGGGGGGGGGGGGGGCGAGTGCCGTGGGGGGGGGGGGGGGGCGAGTGGCGTGTGGGCCTACAAAGGTGGAGATTGACACCTGCATAGGGCCAACAATATGGCCCTACATACAGGGCCAACAACCTGGCCCTACATACAGGGCCAACAACCTGGCCCTACATACACAGGGCCAACAACCTGGCCCTACATACACAGGGCCAACAACCTGGCCATACATACAGGGCCAACAACCTGGCCCTACATACACAGGGCCAACAACCTGGCCCTACATACACAGGGCCAACAATATGGCCCTACATACACAGGGCCAACAACCTGGCCCTACATACACAGGGCCAACAATATGGCCCTACATACACAGGGCCAACAACCTGGCCCTACATACACAGGGCCAACAACCTGGCCCTACATACAGGACAGGGCCAACAATATGGCCCTACATACACAGGGCCAACAAACTGGCCCTACATACACAGGGCCAACAACCTGGCCCTACATACAGGACAGGGCCAACAATATGGCCCTACATACACAGGGCCAACAAACTGGCCCTATATACAGGGCCAACAACCTGGCCCTACATACACAGGGCCAACAACCTGGCCAACAACACAGGGGCGGGGGGGGGGGGGGGGGGTGCGAGTGGCGTGTGGGCCTACAAAGATGGTGATTGACACCTGCATAGGGCCAACAATATGGCCCTACATACAGGGCCAACAACCTGGCCCTACATACACAGGGCCAACAACCTGGTCCTATATACAGGGCCAACAATATGGCCCTACATACAGGGCCAACAACCTGGTCCTACATACACAGGGCCAACAACCTGGCCCTACACATACAGGGCCAACAACCTGACCCTACATACACAGGGCCAACAACCTGGTCCTACATACACAGGGCCAACAACCTGGCCCTACATACAGGGCCAACAACCTGACCCTACATACACAGGGCCAACAACCTGGCCCTACATACAGGGCCAACAACCTGGTCCTACATACACAGGGCCAACAACCTGGCCCTACATACACAGGGCCAACAACCTGGCCCTACATACAGGGCCAACAACCTGGTCCTACATATACAGGGCCAACAACCTGACCCTACATACACAGGGCCAACAACCTGACCCTACATACAGGGCCAACAACCTGACCCTACATACACAGGGCCAACAACCTGGCCCTACATACAGGGCCAACAACCTGGTCCTACATACACAGGGCCAACAACCTGACCCTACATACACAGGGCCAACAACCTGGCCCTACATACAGGGCCAACAACCTGGTCCTACATACACAGGGCCAACAACCTGACCCTACATACAGGGCCAACCATGTGGCCCTACATACAGGGCCAACAACCTGGCCCTACATACACAGGGCCAACAACCTGACCCTACATACACAGGGCCAACAACCTGACCCTACATACACAGGGCCAACAACCTGGCCCTACATACACAGGGCCAACAACCTGGTCCTACATACACAGGGCCAACAACCTGGCCCTACACACAGGGCCAACAACCTGGTCCTACATACACAGGGCCAACAACCTGGCCCTACATACACAGGGCCAACAACCTGGCCCTACATATACAGGGCCAACAACCTGGCCCTACATACAACCTGGCCCTACATACAACCTGGCCCTACACACACAGGGCCAACAACCTGGTCCTACATACACAGGGCCAACAACCTGGCCCTACATACAACCTGGCCCTACATACAACCTGGCCCTACATACAACCTGGTCCTACATACACAGGGCCAACAACCTGGCCCTACACACAGGGCCAACAACCTGGCCCTACATACAACCTGGCCCTACACATACAGGGCCAACAACCTGACCCTACATACACAGGGCCAAC